GCCATCAAATGAGTAATATATTCACTTTGTTAGCTTTGTTTTGCAGCTACAAGTTGAAAGTTGATTAGTGTGTGTATAGAAGTGACATTAGCGTTTATTGGCTTATTTTATTCAGTGCGACTGACAAATTGAATAATGGTTGTGAGAAAGTTGAGTAAACGCTCCGCAAAACTATTTTGCTAGCTTTTGCTTGTAGCGGTATCTGCAGCTTCTTTTCAGCTACTTTACAGCACAACGCTGGAAAAGTTGGCTTACAAAGCTGAAAATGTTAGTTGGGATGTCCACGTGTCATCCATTCATTGGATTCTGAAGCATCGTGTTTGAATCTTCGATTTAAGCAGGCCCGATGTTTTCTGAATCATCTTGCCCCTTAAATGCTGCATTCGTTTTGATATGTGTGACAGATCTTCGATGTGAAACATATATCAAATAGACAAGAAAAATGATGTAGGTGTATATATCACTTTCCAGGATGTTTTCAAGAACTGGCTGTGTTGGTGTTAGATTAGATTAGATATTCGAAAATTCCGTGATATCGATCGATTGGTTTTCAAACAGAACTCAGTCACGGTTGCCAAAATTTAACTTCTAGTCTGTCAGAATCTCGGATAGGACGGTTATTCGATAACTTTCCATCTGTCACTTTTAACCACGAGTTAAATTTAACTCGCCAATTGGGAGAGTTTATTTTATTCGATTCATCGAAGATTTACTCTAAAATTACATTTTTTTTTCGCTCTTCATTAAAATCAAAAATCATTTTATTACTTGAAATCTTATTTTAAGAAAACTGGCTGCTAAGACTGAAATATATACACGTTTTTAGTTTTAATACTTTTTCTCAAGCTTCGATATTGCATAAAGCCATTAATGCCCCTTCGCTAATTTTAAACTTCTATTTCATGCAGCCGGTCTCTAACGGAACTATCTACCTGCAGTCTTCTAAGACCATTCTCTAGCTAATAAATTATCACACTAAAGCATCATGTCAGATAGCATTTCCAACCAACTCTGATAAAGTCATTGTTTTTTTAGATCTAGTATGTTTTAAGCATCTTCCATTTTTTCAGGGAATTTTTTAAACCCTGGAAACAGGACCAACAATCAATACGAAACTAACGATTTTAAATTGATTCACTGCTTGAGTAGCCTATTGGTCCCAAGTACTTCTATGGCGTACCCCATTCTAGTTGAAATTCTATTACTACACTATGTTTGTTTTGATTCGCTATGAAAGTTTGACAGATAACATCAAGGGTGTGTGGATTTATGCAGAACATGCAGGGGTGAGTGAAATAGCTTGGGACTGCTTGGGACCGTTGTTCTGGTACTGAGTGAGCCAAAAATAATAATGATTTTCTTCGGGACCCAGTGGTCTTAGAGTTACCTCTATGACAGGACCCTCTGCTTGTTACACTCAGAAAATGTTTCACTTTTTTTTTTTAATAATTCGTTTATTTTTCCAGGCTCATTTGCTGTAGCTTTGCGGAGCCGATATTCATTGTTTAGATAAAAAAAATTACTTAAAACTAACGTTAGTAAAGCGTGGGCCAATTACTCGCGGCTATCTCGAGGTTAGGGGTAACAAATTGTAACAAATGGATGGCAGGGTAGGGATTGTGAACACAAGGTTTGGAGAGCAATGTGCTCTTGATCTCGAACTAGGCGACACTCTGATGAAAAAGACAAACATGGGGGTACACCGATGGGCAGCTAACAACTTGGGAGAACAAAAGATGACACTAACTACTAAATCCTCAAATATATCCGTTTTAAAAACACATAAATTAAATTCAAATAATCGAGGTCTCGGCTCGCCAAGACATCTCTAACGGGTATCGCGGGTTGTTTTCCTCGGGTCCTGAGGGATGTGGATAACTCAGATCTGGCAACACGGTGTAAGGTACACGACCAAACAACATGCTCGATATCGTGATAACCACTGCCAAACGCACATAAATTGCTGCCTGAGAGCCCAATTCGAAAGAAGTGCGAGTCTAACGAGCAGTGATTGGACATAAGCCTTGATATAACGCGTATAAAGTCGCGGCTCATGTCCAACCCTTTGAACCATGGTTTCCACCTGTGGGAGAATAGAATGTAACCATCTTCCCAATTCCCCATCATTCCATTTTTGTTGCCAACTGATGAGGACTTGCTGACGAGCAATGGAGAAAAATTCGTTGAAGGCGATTTGTCGCTCAAAAATATCGCCTTCCATAGCGCCCACCTTAGCCAGCGAGTCCACTTTCTCATTACCCGGAATAGATCAATGAGATGGCACCCAAGCCAAGGTGATAGTATAGGACCAGTTAGATAAAGCACCACACCAAATCCAGTGGAAGCATTTATGGTTGGGTCAAATGTGGGTCATCTGTGAAAAATCTTTTATCGTTACTTACATGGTGGTACTTGATTGCAAAAACTGAGGGAACAACCATCGACCGATGGTGATCTGGTATTCCATGGATTTCTTGCATCATGGTCAGATCAAAATTTACAGAGGAACTATAGAAGGCTTGAAAGCAATCACGATTGGAGATTAATGAAGAAGGAGTTTTTCACTTAGATGTTACATGAAAACATATATAGATTTTTTCCATCTAGTTTTTCACGTAAATTTCACGTTTTTCATATGTGGATTGGTTTGAAAGTTTTTATCCACATACAACTCTAATAGGTAGTATAGGATTAGGAAATAAATTTCACTTTATTTTCATTTAGCATCTAAGTGAACATAACTCCAAGTGAAAAGATCTTTGCCCAATCCACTAGAAAACAACATAGATTTTATGGTTCTTTCTAAGTAAATTTTATTATGTTTTCACTTAAATTTTAGTAAGTTTCTTCGTAGCATCATCCATTGTAAGGAATTTAAAAATTATTTTTCGAGATAATAAAAATGTTTTTGTTCAGAAAGCTGATAATATATTCCTATTAAAAAAACCCAAATAATGTAACTATTCCACAAATGGTTTGAATGATACCCACACACGTCGTTAAGCAAAATAACCATAACAATTTTATTAGGGATATCTTATGTATTTCAGCAACTTCCGGCCAGCTGCACATCCTCTGCCAATCTTTCGGGTGAGATCATTCCTCATTCTAAAAACATACCATAAATAAATGGTGTATCATAACCAGGCATGGAAAATCATTTGCATTCATTTCATACATTCATTTGTCCCTAACTTTTTTCATCAACAGCATTCCGCAAAATGATGTAGAGAATTTTTGTAGGTTTTGCTATTAGCTACAACTTTTGCTCATAACTCAAATCTGTATCTCTTATGCATTACGAACTAGAGCGGGCAGAACTTGTTACTGTTTTTTAGTGAATGTAAAATACATTCACTGAAAAACAGTAGTGGCTTCTGTTCACTCTGGTTCGTCATACATAAGAGATACGAATTTGACTTGTTGACAAAAGTTGTAGCTAATAACAAAACCTACAAAAGCTCAACTAATAAGCTGTGTTAGCGCTGCTCTGGAAGCAATTTTACAGTCAACTAGGTTTATTGTTAGACGTGTGCAGTTTTACAGCTTTTACTCTTTACAAAGCTGAATTAATTTGTCGAGAAAAGTGATTCATGTGCACTATTATAAAGCCTCTTCTCAGCGATCTTTTTGTAGAAGGGCATGTAAATTTGTTTACGTCAGATCAAAGTAGTGGCGTAGCGAAGTATGCGGTCGTCTTGAGTTCGATTCCAGGCTCCGGTACAGTGTAAATCATTTGGTGGTGTGCTTATAACTAATTTCGATTAATTTAATTCGCAGTAAAATAAACTTGATAAATTCCTCCATAAAAAAAGGCGTAAACAATATTTACCCTAGCGTCAAGAGAAAACTGTGTAGTGATTATTGGATAATCGGGTAAAGGTTGAGTAAGCGCCTTTCAAGTTCGCACGCAACTAAACAGCAGAATAACAGCTGTATAGAAGCGTAAATGAATATGCAATAAGAGCTTGCCACTACCGTCCCAACAAGCCATAAGTAGCTGACTAAGTTCGCCAGATTTGTTTGTATAGAGGTTGAGTAAAGGTTTCCTCATATCGTATAACATTTGAATAAAGCTTGAGGCTGTATGAATGAAATTAGTAAAGCGTTTATATTGCGAAAATTGTTAGTTGAGTATCCACGATATATGTGAACATTAGACTGATGCAAAATTTGAAATGTTCGCTCCACAGTGTTCCAACGGTTCCAAATCGGGTCCTGATTAGCCTCCCAAAATTTAAACTCATTTGGTAAGAAACTGACTTGGCACAAACCATTTGAAGTTTATATGGAAATTGCTATGGGAAAACCTAAATTTTGGATCATATCTATCTCAAAATTCACCAGTTCACTCTGCATAAGAAAATGACAACTGCGCTTGATGAAAATTTTCTCAGCTACAACTTTGTTCAAGACCACTTTTCGATTAAATGTAAGGAACATAAGTTATTAATGATTCCAGTCACTGATGTCTTATGATTATGCTCAATTGGTGTTTCTGGGGCGTAGAATAGGTCACAAAAATCATGGCTACTATGTCACACTGCAGAATACAGTGTTGCCCACAATACTGCTGCTTAATCATGCCATAAGATTATCAATCTCTTAATCAATCAATACATATTTAGTTTGACACTTGGCAAAGTTGTAGTGGTTTGTGCCAAGTTAGTTTCTTACTAAATAAGTTCAAATTTTGGGAGCCTAATCAGGATTCAATTTGTAGCCGTTTGAGCACTGTGGAGCGAAAATTTCAAATTTTGCATCAGTCTAGTGAACATCCCCTGACTGTAGTATCCACAGCAATGTTGATATTCTTTCATCCTAGAACTACCCGCATAATTTTAAGATTCTTTTACTATGTGCAAATGACGACGGATCACCTGTATCTTGTACCGAATATCACAATTAAAGATGTATAATCACATGCACAAACACTTTTAAGTATGCTTCAGAAATGCTCAACATCATGGTTACGCAATAAAATATGTTCGGAAGCTAACCTGAAGTCTAACCACAAATTCACAGTAATCCACTTTTCTATTGCACAGTTTCACAATTCACTAAACGCGGAACTACCACTCACGAGTGTGCTTCCGGTTCGCCGTTCCACGAGCAATTGATCTATCGTTCGACAGGAGGAAGCAAACACTCACTCGAACCCAATTTGGTGACCGCCGAGTCGTGATCCAATGTTCGCCCTTTTGTCGCGCTCGCCACCAACACCGCACGCCATATCTACACGGATCCAATGGCACTTAGGCGCGGAACCAATCAAACGCGCTCTTCGGCATATCCTTTACTAGCGTTCACCGCACCACAAACATCAACATATGATATTGAGATCCTTTGCTGCAAGCAGCGCGCATATTCCATCAGCGGAGGGACGTGAAAAGTAGGTGTGGTTTGGTCTTCTCGCGACCGACGATGACTTTTAGCCCCTCGATGATGTAGTTTAAAATAACAACGAGAGCAACGTGCATTATTAGGGACACCACCGGGACGCGTGAATCGCGCTCATTGCGAACGAGCGAGACGGGCGTCCGGTCGTCTGTCTGGCTGTTTGTTCGCAACAAGGATACGTGAGAAGCATGCACGTGGCGTGTGCTCTAGGTATGTAGGGATGATGTTTAGATCAACAAATCAAATCGGAACCTTACGAAATTAAATTGGCTTATTTCTTGACTAGCCCATTGGTCCCAAGTACATCTATGAGCGTACCACATTCTCGTGTTAGAATCTGTCAAAGTTTGTGTTAGTTTAGAATCGCCTTATAAATTTGATAGAATTTAATTAGAGGTTCGTAGATTTTTCTTCAACTAGGTGCTTCAATTAGCTTGGGACCGAAGACCTGGTACTTTCTGAACCAAAAGATTGAGCATTTTTCTTTGGGACACATGGTCTTAGTGTTATTCTATGTTTAGATGGCAACCGTGCAGACCATATTTGCTACATTGAATGAAATTTGTCAGAACTTTACATGATATATAATGTAAACGTATATGATATGTCACGCTCCATTTATGTGCATCATGTTGAACAGAAATTTACACTACTTTTTCGAACTGTGCAGATCCCGGTGCAGTTAATAATTTAGTTGTGTGTGCTGCTTCTAACTAATTTCAACGAATATGATTCTCATTAGATAAATTCAACAAATTCGCCACCATGTACAAGCAATATATAACTCGGCTTTAATATGATGCTGTATAGTGATTATGAGATAATTGGAAAAATGTGGTGCTGGTTCGTCTCCGGCTGGTGTTGAGAGCGTATGAGAGCAAAGAAGTATAATTTTGCCAATACTAATGCCATCACTGGTGAAGAGTGTTTTAATAAAATTCATCTTCGAAGGTTTGACACATATTTGATCCGTTAATGAAGGTGAGATGCACCAAATTGACGTCTGAAGGTGGTTTGAGTTTTTTTAGTCATAACAGAAGTCCTTTCAAATTTACTAAAACTTTATAATATAGTTTTGGAGCGAAAGTGTTCCGGAGGCGAACCAGCCCCAGGCTGAGAGCCACCTTAATAAAGAAATCTTAACTAGCTTTGTAGCGAATTTTAACGCACATTTAAATTAAATTGGTTTTACTTACGATATCTTTTCATAATAAATATACATCAAGTTCTGCTGAGTTACCTATTATGTAGCAATGGATGTATTGGTTGGAACGATGGAACAATTGGCTGGTTCTAGTTCACAAAAAAAAACAGTCTTCTGTTTTGCTCATTGACTTACCGATAAACAAAAGCGATAAACAGCTGCTAAAATGAACAAGCGGCTCATGTGTGTTTTAATAGGTGCAATATCCTACGCAGGTGTGGAAGCTGCCTTTCTGCACATTCGATTGCCGTCAATGGATGGCAATCGATGTCCGTCGGTGATTAACCAGCTGGTACTTTCTGAACCAAAAGATTGAGCATTTTTCTTTGGGACACATGGTCTTAGTGTTATTCTATGTTTAGATGGAGTCCACAATGTAACATTTATTGTATCCACAATAGCCTCTCACCAGGCCTCTCACGGAAAATACATCCAATCAGCTGCACATTTCATTCAGCTGATTGTATAATCACAGACAAACAGACGTAACTCTTTGAAAAACTTGTTCTTGAAAACATAGTATCTCAAAACATATAACCTCAGTAACGACATCTATCTGGCTTCTCGCGGAAAACAAACTTGCTCGCCTACTTGTAAACAATATTGCATAAAATTTCTATAGAATATATAGAAACGTCAAAGTGATCCGATGCCAGCGCTGCGGCGAGTAGTTCGCGGAACTGATAATATTCAAATCAACCGTTAAATGCATGAACGAAGATCCACAATGAAGAGTTACGTCTGTTTGTCTGTGGTATAATGTTATGTTGTATGATGTACACTAAATGTTCGAACAAATTCACATATATTGCATTGTATCTGATTTTAAATATTACATCTCCTTAATATTTCATACTTGAATTACTGTGTGTTTTGTACACACATTTATTAATAAGCTGATACTTTGAGCACCCCTATCAAACTGATCCTTAAGGTGAGAGGGAGAGCAAACTTTGACCAAGGAGCATGAACGTTTGGAGAGCATGACGCGTATGGAAGAGTGTGCTAATCAAATGAGAATCATATCATCAGCACCAGCCAAAAAGTGTGGGTCGATAACATTCGTCTTGCTTTTATAAGTATGCACCGTTCTTGCATTCTAAATGGCTTCCAGTTGGAGTACGCTCCTCCTTTTTCCGTGGTGTTATCAAGCATTGCTAATTAAGCATAAATGTTTATTATTTATGCAATCTTAGCCACTGTGGCTTATCTTAAGAAACCTTGTTTCTTGCGAATGCAAGGTTCTATTTTATTCGAAAAATATAATAAGATCTGATGCCTCATTAGGGAACCAAGTCGAAACGAATGAGGCTTCTGACCCCTTATACAGTGTGTGTTAGAACAATAGCACCATCTAAAATTATACCGCCACTACAGGGTGATTCAGAGTTATTGTGACCGATTTCACAACTATGCAATTTTTAATGGGTGCTATGGTTTATGGAATGTAATAAACATAAAATAAACACTACTTTTTCCTGAAGTTACAGTTTATGGTCTGTTCCAGCTACATTTTCTTATGGTTGATCAAATATTCGAGACTATATTAAACTGTTACAAAACATTTCGAATAAAAGTTGTAAAAAACTTGTACAACGCTTACGTGTTTCGCTTATGGTTGCTTTATGTTTTTACATTTGGCACAAATAGAAGAAAACTAGGGGCATCCCACTCTAAACTATAGCTCTAGTATCAATTAAGTATTTCGAAGTATCTGATAAGTATTCTTAAGTATTTTTAAGTATTTTAAGATTTGGATTTTTTAATCGTAGTGACCGGCTACTAATGTAGTTATTTGTTGTTGTATATTCCGTTACTTTTAATCACGTTTTAAAGCATATTAATGCTAGTTTCAATATGTTTTAAATTAAATGAAGTAGTGAAATTCAAAGATTATAAGTAAGTATTTTAATTCTAGTTATGAAATAGTTCATCAAAAACATTTTACTTTCAGCGAACCAGTTGGAGCAGGGATAGCGAATTATTTATGATTTCGAACTGGCTGATTAGTACGATATCAAACTTTTGAATTATATTGCGTAGCTGGAGGTTAATGGTGCCGTTGTCGTCCGAACTCGTAACTAGATTTCAAACTGAACTGCCAAAATAAAAGCGTATGTTGAATGTCAATTCGGCTAAGAACTATCGCAAGCTGCATGATTATGAAATTCTTGACTTTAAGCAGGCCAAGGATGCTAGGACTAGAGTCGGTGTATAATGAGTCACGCCAAGAGTGAAGCCAAGTCTACCTATGGAACTGTCAAACCAGCTACCTATCGTGCAAAGAAAACAAACTTTACGATGCTATGAAAGGTCCACAAAAGGTATTGCAATAAAATATAAAATAAAATCGAAGAAATGATAATAAACACGCAGTGAGCATTCAATTGTCATGGGATACGTTTGGTAATGATCAGTAATGAGAATTTCTACTATGTTTTGTTAAGATAATTTGACAAAATCCCTGATATAATAATTTACTACAGCCGCTATTATTTTTTCTCGCTAGAAGTCATTTGAAGTTAATGTAGAAGTCCTCTGTTGCCAAGTTTAAAGAAAGGGAATCTTTCGAAAACCGTGATGCGAGTTCAACTGTTTTTCTCTTGGCGTGACTCATAATACACCGACTCTAGCTAGGACTATGCTGGTTATTTGCCAGAGGACAATGAAGCATATCTACCAGCAATTCGTTGTGCTGGTGAGCTCGAAGTTGAACTAATTGCAATTGCCACTGGTGGTCGTATCGAACCGCGTTTTGATAAATTTACATAGGTAAAGATGAGTTATGATGGACTGGTGAGGGAGTTGAGCGAGTATCCTGATAGCAACCGAAGACTTTATGTGAAATCAAAATCAATTTCTCACTTTTACCAGTAAGTAAGGGTAAGAAAAATATTAATCTGTTCTGAAATTATAATTTATAACAAACCATTGATAAACCAAATAAAACGATTTAGTTCCAAAACGTTACTTATTTGTACCAATTTCATGTAAAATAATCCTAAGTTAAAATGTATGAATTTATTTCAAACCATTCCCCAAACAGTCCAAATTAAAGTTTTAACACATAGCCGTTTCTGATGAATGATAGAATCAATTAGAGAACGGTTCCGAGATTAACACGAAGCGAATATGTTGGTTTGATAATTTCCAGCCTTAATACGGCTTAGATCTTAGCCTAGTAAGCACAACCCGCCCTTTACCTCTATTTTTAGAATAATTTTTTTTCACAAATTGGAATGTTCTCACTGCAGATGCCTTCCAAATTTATTGAACTTTCCGTACGTATCGTAAGATTTGATAAAGAGTAACACATTGTAAAAAATCTAAGACTGCTTCTTGACCCCAAACTAGGCCTTCGGATTCTTAACTCGGCCTAACGCATTGAAACGCCATTCAAACGCAATTGAATTCACTCTTTTGTTTTTTGAGAATAATAGGTTCAAACATTCATATCATATCATAAC